TTAACTAGTGGCACTAGTTGAGTTACTTTTTGGAAATTTCCGTTCGTCATCCACTTTTCGTATACTTGCACCACCGTGTGTTTGTACTTTACCGGCAAGATTAACAAAATGGAATTAAAAAACAGTAGTGATGTGCAAAGATCTGATTTGTTTTCTATCAAGATTAACTGCTCCGTTCTGAGATATAATATTAGACCCCTATTCAATTGAATCGCACAGCAAAAAGAATTTAGGTTTTTCTCTAATAATGCGTTCTGTTCTTCGTTTTCAGGGTTCGGCAGTTCTTATAACACACAATTGCCTTATTTAATGCTCTGCAAAAAACGCGTCTAAGGGTGAACGACCTTTTTTGATGCAAATAAGTGTAATTACAGTAGTATCACGGTATCTTTGAACATTTTAAGAGTCACTTGTTTACCGTAAATCTTATAAGCTAATCATTTGACTACATAACAATTTAAATCCCTATCTATTAAACTTATATTTTATATCTTGTCACCAAAAACAACACTTTATGATTTCACGCCATAAGTTATCCCTGCAAATTGATCACGCATCACGTTGAAAAACTTGTTTTTTTTTTATAAATTATAGATACAAACTAAAGATGTGCTTCCTAGAGATTTGCAATAAAAAGCTACCGCTAAAGGTTTTCTAACTTTAGATAGAAATTCTCATCGACACGGTCAAATTTGGTTTTCAATTATTTGTTTCCCTAAACCAACATTAAGACTTATTGTATGTGCTAATTCTTAAATTGTGACTTATGTTTTCTGAGCTACGTAAAATTTTTGACTCAATTTATGCTGTAGCCAAGTAAAAGGCAAAACAGGTAAGCAAACGTTCATTGAGTCGTTTTTCGTTCACAGTTCATAGTTTCTTCTAAGAACAAGCTAATACTTATATCGTAATAAATGTCAAGTATCTGCCGTATCAAATAAAGCAATCGATATGCGTCAAGATTCAATTCAGCGGTAAGTCGGATGCCCGAAACGACATCAAGAATTTAAAAGAGCTCAGCGGGAGAGTTGCATCAATTGTCTCAATTGCCAGTGCGGTTTAGTCTCAAAAAACAATTGACATTGTTTGAACTCACAATTAAAGACAAACTGATTCCAAAGTTTGCAATTGATTTAAAAGCAGCTAGATTTTTTTTAAAAAAAACTATCCATTCCCTTAAATCCAAAATTTGAATCGTGAAATTTTTGAAATTTTCTCCAGGATGAAAATGGATCAAATTATCACGACCGAATCATATTGTGCGATGACCGTGGAATACTGAACATTTTGGGAAAGTCATCTTTCTGGTTAGCCGATGAAACCTTTCAAACTACTCTCAAATTGATCGATCAGCTATATTCAATTATGCCGATATATATGGTATTGCACAAGCTTGCATATACGCTTCGTGTCCTTACAAAGTTCAAAAAAACTACGATCGAATGTTGCTGGCATAAAATGAAACACACCGTTTGATATCTTTTCTAAATTTTGAGCAAACTGCCCATTAGCCTTTCCAAATAATAAAACCGGAGCGCGTTTATCGGGTTGAATTTTTCATTTCTTACATTGTTACTTGAGAAAAAAAAGAAAATATTAGTGAATCTTATGATATGCGACAGAAAAAAAATGTAGAGAAACCAAAATTTTTTGTGAAAAAAAAACCAGCTGCGTCTTTATTTCGGTTCCATCTAAAAATGGCATGATGCCAAACCATTGAGTTTTTGTTCCCATCTTACCTTTGGAACCAGCGTGAATGATATTGTGAATGAGCTGGCAAGGACATTAAATGATTTGATAGATTCGATGCAACCATATTTTTTGAGCGGAGCTCACATTTATAAATTGGCAGTAGTGGTCAGCCTGACAAAAAACACGTCCATAATTTTTTTCCCTTCGAGTGGCCTAAATACACAAGGAAGAAAAAGTACTAGGTTTTCGTTAAAGTACTTCAAAACATGTTTTCTGTTTACGAGCCAAAACACACCTCTACGTTTTAGAGCATTATCTAGTTTTTTAAGCAAGTCTACGGTTAATTTTACTGTTGTGTGTTTTGTTCGTATTTTTTTTCTCTAGGGGTTCAAAATGTCTGAAAAATCACGCCACTTTTAATCGAAGAACGTCTAAATAATTGAAGGTATTTGAAATTGGAGGGTGATTCCCATCATCTGAAGAATCCAAATTGCTGGGAAGGGTAATTAAACCGTTTAAATCTTAAACGGACTAGGTACAGCAAAAATGTCTGGCTTTAAATGGCAAAAATGTGTCTCTCGTTTTTTTGTTGGATTTTTAAAGTAATCTTTTTTGATGCAGTTTTCTTATTAGTTTTGGATTAAAACGGCGTTGAGTTTTATAAATGGCTTTTAAATAAAAATTATGTTGCCAAGGTAACAAAACCTTGGCAGTGAAACAACATGATATTAAGTGACTTAGAGTTAAGAAAAGTGGGAACCGATATCGCGTATTTTTTATCGGTACTGCAATTTTTGTTTGGAAATTGAAAAACACCATTGGAAATGCAACTGAATTTGCATATTTAAAATTATAATCGCTCAATCTACGTGTTTTTTTGGAACTTAGCTTCAGAAGTAAAAAATATGCACCCCAATCTAAGTTTTTTCTCAGCATTAGTTGTCTGAAGGAAAAAATCTCTAGAAGAAAGCATTTTTTGAAAATTGGACACTTTTTGTCAAACATGACGAAGAGGACAGTTGCTAGGAACTTCATAATAATCAATACGGTGAAAGTTGTTCAGTAAAATTTGGATTCAAAGATTGAGTCAAATTCTGATTTCTGATTTGTTGTGAGTTATGTATTGGTTACTGTACTCATAGAGTAATTTCAGATAAGGTACACCGTCTGCTCGTCACGCTATTTTATTTTCGGCCGGATAGATTCGTGCAACTTCTTAATCTTACTCTTATATCTCCTAGACTCAATAGATCTAGTGTACACCGGTTTACGCGAGTTAGTTCCAGAATGAGAATAACTGTATTCTAAGTTTAATTCAAATTGTTCTGGTGTTGAATAATAACTAATGAGAAATACTAGTTTAGATCTGGTTCCGGTTGGAACATATGTTGTGCAAAACAGACTGCTTTGAATTTCAATTACAGTGGTGCATTTTACTCAACCCAGTAAAAAATGATGTATAATGTCAAAAAAGCGCAATTTTATATATGACTTTAAAACAAAAAGTGGCTGTTTTATGTAGAAAACCGGTTTGTTTTGAAACTTGACATTTAAGTTGTACCTTTTTACGCGTTTTTGGAAATTTTACCTTAGTTCAATTTTGTTCAATTGATTAAGGTCTTCTGTCGTTTTGGTATTTTTACTAAACGTTTTTGTTATTAAAATTTATTTGATTGTTTTTATAACTAAAACTTTTTAAATTTCGAAGAAATTTCAACGTTGATCAAAAAATTTGAGTTGAACTTTCATCACTTTCAGATTGACATTCTTGCAAGGATTTAGCAAAACAAAAAAAGCTTTTGTTTCTGAGTTAATTGCCTCGGCAATTTTTGTAGAAAAGAAGAAGGGAACAAATTTACATCTCTAAATATTTTCAAAAAACAAATTATATCAGAGCAATAACAGATTTTGAAAAGCACCCTAATTAACCAAAAAGACTCCAGGATATTTCATTTGTTATATTCAAATGATTTCATAGGAGAGTAAAGCTTATACGTCTTACCATTTTGCCTTAAAAAGAACTCGAAAACTCCGATTCAACTAAAGCGCAGCCATACAAATGTGTACTGAGTTCTCAACGCCAAAAAGCACTGAACCCGACTTGGAAAAACATCAACCGGGTCGAGGTCCGCGACTTAAGAAAAGACTGGCGCGACTCAAAATTGGCAATTCCAGACCGGCGCGACTTTATATTGGCAAATCCAGACCGGCGTGACCGAAACTTGGCAATTGAAGACCGACGCTACTGAAAAAACACCGCGACCGGCGCGACTCAAAACACCGTCGGAATCGGCGCGATCTAAGGTAATGGTGCGACCAGCGCGACTGAAAATTTTCAATTTCAGACCGGCGCGACAGAATAAACCGCCGCGACATGCGCGACTGATCAAAATACCAAAAGTATTTTTTTAAGTCCCGCCGTTGGTCTTATCTTAAGTCGCGCCGCTTAACTTTTTTCTTAAGTCGCACCGCCAGTCTTTTCTTAAGTCGCGCCGCTTAAGTCTTTTCTTAAGTCGCGCCCATTAAGTCTTTTCTTAAACCGCGTTGTCAGTCGTTCTTAAGTCCCCCCCCCCCGGCGACTAAGTTTTTTCTTAAGTCGCGCCGTCAGTCTTTTCTTAGGTCGCGCCGCTTAACTATTTTCTTAAGTCGCGCCGCTTAAGTCTTTTCTTAAGTCGCGCCGTCAGTCTTTTCTTAAGCCGCGCCGCTTAAAAACTTACGAAAAGACTGACGGCGCGACTTAAGGAAAGACTTAAGTGGCGCGACTTAAGAAAATACTGACGGCGCGACTTAAGAAAAGACTTAAGCGGCGCGACTTGAGAAAAGATTGACGGCGCGACTCAGTAAAAGGTTGACGGCGCGACTTATGCATGCGGCGCGACTGAGAAATCCAGTCTGAAAACGGTATGCGGCGGGACTTAAAAAGTCTTTCATTAAGTCGCGGAACTTGACCAGGGCAAGCAGGTAAAAAATTTTTTTTGGAAAACGCCCAAACTGAACTATTGCATTTTTACTCGTCCTATTGCTTTTTTGTCTCATAATCTGCTGACAATCGAATTATCGCACTTGCATATCCCCATGAAATATGCATTTCAATGCAACTATTGCTTCAAGCCCCTATTCGTTTTGCTTTTTTTTTTATTGTCTGAATAAGATAGTCCTCACTTTTGGAGCCAAATGTTGATTTTTGAGACAAAAAGCTTTTGCTCGCAGTTTTTGATCGCTTTTGTTTTACTTTCAAATATCGTTTGAAAGCAAGAAGAATTAAACTGCTAAAAATCATGAATATTTTATAGGTCAGCTTGAAAACTTGTTTGTCCTGAAACAAAAGCTCATTTTCCTGCTTTAAAATCCCAAAAAAATAGTTATTTGAAATTCAAAAAACAAACTGTACATCCTACAGACTGGCTCTGACTTAGTTGAGATTCGGACTAAAAAACGAAAGAAATGTCACAAAACATTGACGAACTCGGATATCGTAATGAAAATTTTGACGATTATGAATCGCTTGATGGCTTTGAAGAGAGTGATTTTACTAGTCGACCGACTAGTGCAACAAGCAGCATTTTCAATCAGGTACTTTATTGAAACTAATTGATGCGAATGTCTCAGAATTGATATAAATGACAAAGTTTGATGAAAAAAAACAAAAAAAACATTGGTAATCATCTCAACATAACTTGGAAAACTAATAAGTTGGACACTAATTTGGAAAATTAAAACAGTTCTTGTCTACATTTTCTTGATTATGCGCCTTTGGCGTCGTAAAACATTTGTTTTTTACCTTAGTTTGATTTAAAAAGTGTAAGTATTCAATTCTTACTATATTTCAAACTAACTATATTCTCGTGAATATATTGAAGCACTGAAAATATTTGAGGCCGTTGATGAGACACAAGTACAAATCGCAGCTGAAAACTCAGATGAAAACAGCACTGAACCGTTGGGAACTGCAGGAAAGCGCAACCCAGTAAAGGTATTTCCATTTTAACCAAAGTTGTTTCGCAATTCCGAAAGCAAGCAAAGAGCGTACGGCTTCTCTGTAAAAAAAAGCAATGGCTCCGACCAGTAACAGATTATATATGAGGAGGCAGATGGAATTATGAACAATTTTATTTCAAGTTAAATTTTTCTCGAGCTTTGCTCATATGCCGATGCAGATGTGATGTTAGAATTTTTCGAAACTTTTCAGGTAGTGCTTGTGTGTCATAAAAACAGACTTCTTTCGTTATGTAGCCGATAGACAATTTTTTGACAAAGTCCGCCCCCTCTGCTTCAAAAACTAGAGTGGCCCCGTGCTTAATCATTGGATAGAGGGAATCTAAGATAGCAGAGTAAATCTAATAAGTGGTGCAATCATATCCAAATTGAAAAGAAAGCTTTTCAAGGTGATGAAGTTTGTGGTGTACCTTGTGATTCTGGTGGCTGTGGGGACCCTCTGCATGTTCTCGGCCTTCATGTCCATCGGGACTCTGATGCACTCCAAGGACATCCCGGCGACCACGTACAAACTCATGAAACAAATTGGACCCCACACGAGACCTGGTTATCATTCAGAATAGTATTGCACGCGTGAAAACTTTATTTTGCATTATCTGTCGAACCAGCAATTGTTTCAGGGTGATCATTTAAGGATTTTATGTGTAATAAAAGAGTTCGGTAAAGTAATTTGTTCGATTTGCTTAAGTTGGTCGAGTCATTTTAAGTTTTAGGGAGAGTTCAGCTCAGATCGATATTACTTTTGAATATCCGTTTTCTATCAAGCACGCAAAAAACTCATGGGTAAAACTTAATGATTAATACGTTGAACAGGCGACGCGAAGCCCACTTTTTTGAGAAACTTAGTTATAATATTTTTAACGAAAAAAAATTGAGCAAAAGGGTGCAAAAATATAATTAGTTCGTCAGCTTCAAACTTTATTTTTTATAGTTAAATGCTTTTTGTGACTTTCCAATACAACAGATGCATAAAGCTAAAAAGGGGAAAACTCAGGAGCGGAAAACTTTTCAGGGAATTGCTTAGGAAAACCTAACTATAAAATTAAGAGAGATTAAGTAGATTCACGTTTACTTGTCCATAACCAGGTAAAAAAATTCTCAGTTTTTGTTCATGCATGCTGTTTTGAACTGATTGCATTTGAACACAAAGTTTTTTGCACGTTGCCTTAGTATTTTTAAAAATGGCTTTGTTAGAAATTTTTTTTATAAAATATGTTAATATTAACATTAACCGAAACAAAAACTGCGACAAAGAATAGAATTAAATATTTTGTTTTCTCGGGACGCAATCAATCGTCTTTTAAGAAATGCGAAACTTTTAGGTGAAACATTCCTATTTTAGGTGAATACTTTCTTTGAAAATTGCGGCTAAAAAATCGTTCAAATCGTTTTAGCATGTAGGCGGAAAGTAACTTGAAAATGATCAAACCAATGTTAAAAAAATGTTCAGGTGATATTTTTCTGCATCAAAAGCATGCTATCTGATAAGTGAGCACCCGTAGGCCTTAACTGATTGATAAAAATTCATAAACTCCTAAAAATTCAAAGCTTGAGCTCAAAGATTGCTCTTAAATTTTTCAAGTTAGTTGCAGCTTTTTGTGAATTGCTTTCCGATCTTCAGTGCCTTTCAACAACTTTTTTTCTCATTTTTTTTCTGATTTTGTTTCATAATCTTTAAATTTGCTCTAGCCTCACCAAATTTTGCGTATCTTCTAGTTCAATGTGCAATTAACATCTCGTTTAGCAGTTCACTCAATTAGCAGCTCTTAAATTTTTTCAGCTTCATCTGATTCCTTTGTTGCGCTTAATTGAGTAGTTTGAGTACTTTTTTCAAGTATCGATTCCTCAAGTTATGTCGACTATCTCCCGACTAAACCTAGATCCACCCAAGGGTAAAACTTAATGATTAATACGTTTTTGAACAGGCGACGCGAAGCCAACCTTCTATAGAGAAATTTATTTGTAATAGTTTTAACTGAAAAAGTTGAGTACAAGAGTTGAGCGCTAAAATATACTTTGTTTATGAGCCTCAAACCTTTTTTTTGTTTAAATGCTTTTTGTGACTTTACAATTACAACAGTTTTATATGAAATGCTTCCGGATCTTTAGTGCCTTTCAACAACTTGTTTTCTCATATCAATTCGTGTAATATTCTTCAAATTTGCTCTAGCCTCATCAAACTCTGCGTATCTAGAAGTTCAAAGTGCAATTATCATCTCTTGAATTTCTGAGCAGCTTCAAAAAATTCTCAGCTTTATCTGGGTCCATTGTTGCGCTTAGTTGGATAATTTGAGGATTTTATTTCAAGTATTGATCCCTCAAGTTATTTCGACTATCTCCCGGGATTTTTCCATTTTATGGCCATTGCGTTTCATCAACTGATTGGCAAGATTTTTCTGGTTAGAGTCTGAATTTTTTTATAATCAAAAAACTTTTAAGATGCCGTCTATTCGTTGTAGTTAACAAACTCATAATGATTCGACAACCACGCTTACTTTGAATTCAAAGCCGTTTTTTTGCAAACGATAAGTCGCTTGCTAACCGTAGACAACTTTCGGCTCAGCCATAGTTTTTTCTGCTGTATTTTTTTTCCAAAAAAAAGAAGAAATGTAAAATCACGGGGGATCAAAATTGTTATTTTTTAATCCTTTGCCACAGGCTAAAAAACTCGGTTTTGTTATTCTGTTCCGCATTTGAAACTAGTTAGGCGTAATTGCTTCAAGGAATTGGTTACATCTTTATCAATCGTCCGATCCTCAGTAGTTTCTAAACAAATATGACGCTTCGTTGTGACAAATTCAATTTCAAAAATAACGTTTAAAAAATTACAGCGCTGCGCACAAACCGACATATTTGAGTTGGGTTGGAAGGTCTAAAATTATATCTCGGAACGGAGCAGTTAGTCTTGATAGAAAACAAATCAGATCTTTGCACATCACTACTGTTTTTTACTTCCATTTTGTTAATCTTGCCGGTACAATACAAACACACGGTGGTGCAAGTATACGAAAAGTGGATGACGAACGGAAATTTCCAAAAAGTAACTCAACTACTGCCACTAGTTAGGTTGCTTTTTGGAATTTTCCTTTCATCATTCATTTTTGTAAGTTTACACCATCATGTGTTGGTACCAAACCGACTGAGTAAATCAAACGGAGGAAAACATAACAGTGTTCAAAAAAACTATGATATTGAGTTGGGACGGATGGTCTAACTCAAAGAATAATTTCAGATAAGGTACACCGTCTGCTCGTCACGCTATCTTATTTTCGGTCGGATAGATTCGTGCATCTTCTTAGTCTAATACCGATCTTAATCTTACTCTTATATCTCTTAGTCTCAATAGATCTAGAGTATACTGGTTTGTTACGAGTCGGTCTCTTGGAGAAAGCAACTAGGTTGTAAATTAAATTCAAAATGCTCTGGTGCTGAAATTACAAGAAATTTCAGCACTTACAAATAAGTGGGTTGTTACTTTGATGGAGTGTGATTGGTTAGTCTTTAATATTTTATAGGGTTAAAATATCTAAATTATAACCAATAATAAATTATAGTTTGGATCTGGTTCCATATTGGTAGAATATATTTCTTCTTAAAGCTCAATTTGAAAAAAAAAAAATTAAATGACTAAAGATGATTCCTAAAATTTTAAGTCAATGACAAGAAAAGCAGTAAGACTGCAATTGCCAGGTCAGCAATCAACACAAGTCAATTGAGCAACGCCTCAATCTTCTGCCGTTCTTAACCAATTGAGTTGTTTCCACTTCCCAAACAAGAAACAAAAAAACAGCAGAAAATATTTCTAAAACGAGAGTAGGTAGTTATTTAGTACATTGCACACAATTGGTCGAAAGGTTTTGATTCATGTCGAGAAGGTTTTTTTGAAAAAATCTATTTTCGTTTTTTTTGTTTGCAATCATTGTTTTGGGGCATGCAGATTATTACATACAAGTTTATTTTTTGTTGACTGCGACACCGAATTATTTTAACTGATTCTTATTTTCATCATCGAGATCCAAACCGTTCGTTTTCAGGTCAAAAATTAGAAAGACGCAAACAATTACAAAAGAAATAAATAAATTACATTGTGATTTGTGTTTTAAAGTTTAAGCCATCTCTCTGAGTTGAAAAACAAAAGTAGAAAAACAAAAACAAGCTGAATCATTATAAAAAAATGTTCATTTGATAGCACTATCAATCGATTTTTTTTTTAGTTTTTGACCCTCTATTACTTCGGCAAAAGCTCCCATTAAAATTATATTCGCAAAAATGTTAACGAAGCACCTCCTCGTAGCACCTCTTTGTCTGCTAGTTTCTTCCAGCAAAATTATTGATAACAAAAATGCTTCATCTGAAATCTTTCGGTTGCTGAATTACACATAAAGATCAAGAAATGTTTTTGTCTACGGAACCTTTAACCTGCATAGAAACAAGATAACTCTTCATTTGTACCGCAGAGTCGATTGAACAGCAAAAAAGGCACAGAATGTCAGAGTCAACAATAGAAAACGGAATTCACTACCTAAAGAAATCAGACAGGTCACATCTCGCAAAAAGTTTTTAAAAAAATGTAGACAAATGACATATCGCTCAAAAGTTATTAACCATCTAAATCAAAGGATTTAGGTGGGGGAACCCCTTTCTTAAGGATTCGATCCCGTGCCGACTCAATTTTGAGACTATTTTGAGATATCCATTTTTAGCTGACTCACCCTAAAATTATGCGCCAAATCATATTAATTTTGAGGAGGAGCGCTCGCCAAAAAAATACTCGTTTTTTTGGTCAAAATTTTCCAAAAAGTTCCTAAAAACGCCTTTTTGAAACATTTTTTCTAACATTTGCTTCCGGCACCAAAAATTTGGCCAAAATGGAGTCTTTATAGTGATTTACGAGAGCTCAAAAACCAATTTGCTCGACTTAAAAACCTACAAAAAGATGATTTCTTTGATCTCTAGCTGAAAACAATTAATGTTCGTTACCGGAATCATTGAATCCATAAATTTGTACAAAGTGGTACAAAACGTATGAAAAAATATCAGCTTGTCTTGTTGACTATACCTCCACCCGCTCTTTTGAAAAACCGCTTTTCCTTACAAGGTACAGAGTTAACATTTTTTTCTTCGCTGAATTATTTTTTTGACTTGGCAATTATTTCGTACTTACCATAGGTACCATAGGGGGGAGAACGAGAGTAGGTAACAAGATCCAGACATTTCTTACGTAAACTTAACATTTCTTACCTAAACTAAGAGCCACTTAGAATAGCGGTAAGGCGTTCACTTTGAAATAGTCAGATCATGTATTCGATCCCATGCCATGGGAATGATAGTGTGTGAGGACAAGCTCTCACTTGACCTCTCACTTCAGGTCTACCACAGCCTGACCAATTTTAGCTGCAATAGTGGTACCACGTGAAAGTTCTAGACGCAAAAAAGCGGCCTTGAGTCGCAAAAAAAAATTCGTTCAACAAAATAACACAGCCTGGTTCTAGGAACTTCTCGAGGGGGGGAGTCGGATTTTCAAAAATTTTTTTGAAAACTTAGTCGACCTTTTTTTTAGGTCGACCAAATTGATCTTGTGAGCTCTCCGAAACCATTATAAAGACCCAAATTTGACCAAGTTTTCTGCGCCGGAGGCAAATGTTTGAAAAAATGGGCCAAAAAGGTATTTTTAGAAACTTTTTGGAAAATTTTGACCAAAAAAAACGATTATTTTTTTGGCGAGCGCTCCCCCTCAAAAATAATTTTGGCGCCAAAGGCGCCTTTAGAAAAATTTTAAGTTCATTCAGCCGAAAGTTGATATTTCAAAATAGTACCAAGGGGGGAATCTTTGGGTCGGCTGGGGGTCGAATCCCTGGGGGGGGGGGGGGGGGCGTCCTCCCCCCCCCCCTAAATCCGCTACTGAAATGGACTATCCTCGAGAGGACTGTTAAAGTCTACTGATAGCCCCTCTGCGATTCGCAGGAACCACATTATTTATTCATTATTATAAAGTATTAAAGACCATCATGGAGTTATCTTTATGTTTAGAGCGTCCGTGCTCTCAACACAGAATAACTGATTTGCCCTGAAATTCCCTCGATCAAGGCGCATCTTGGATTTTTGCGAAAAATTGGATTTTTGAAAGCTTTTGTATTGGGTCAACCAACCTGATTTTCCTGTTCTCATAAGACATCAAAATGCCAATTATTCTTCAATTTAGGCACCGCAGGCAGATAATTGAGAAGATTTAGACTAGAAAAATGCATTTTTTCAGTCTGAATTTCTCAAGCTTATTGCACATTGGCACCTTGGTGCCTGCTCTAGAATTTTTTGACATTCGGTCAGCCAAAATTCGATGTTCTTGAATTATTGAACTGGGAGGGATTTGAATCTAAGAGGGCCTGAAAATGGAATATCGGATTACTTTGAGTCTGAAACCTTATCTGCAAGTGTAATAAATCTGTGATCCAGAAACTGATTTTCTAAACAAAAAGTGCCAGAAACTAGTTTTTTATCAACTGTTTCAGGCATCATTTTCATGACCAGGGGAATTAATCTGATCTCGTGTCGAGTTTTAAACTGGACCACATCTGATATAAATGCACAGTACAAGAGCAATAAAGCGTGCAACGTCAAGAGCTTCACTCTTCGTTTCTACGATCTAATTGAACCGGCGCTTGAGTCGCGATTGCACGCCATGTTGCGGACAGTGCGCGACAGCCACGGCGAGGTGACCCTGGTTCTGCTAAGCGGTCCCTCGGACTGGAGTAGCAAGCAGACAGTGTTCGCTCATGCGACTGTGCCTTCGAACCAACTGGGCGCATGGAGTATTATTCACCCTGACTACGAAGAAATGCACGACAGGTATCGTTTAGAAGAAAGGCCAAACTGTAGCTACCTATTTAATGGATCATTTCTTTATTAGCCTACTTCCAGTTTTGATTAAAAATTTCCGAGTACGAAAAGGGGTCTTAGAGTCGTGAACGACGCCAATTACAAACAAGGATAGCTCGTTGCTGTGCAAGTAGCACAGAATGTTGCGACCGCATTCATACAAAAAAAACCACAAAAACGGTTTTTTTCTTCAAATTAGTGTCGTGTTCAAAAATTGAATGACAAAATAGTGAAAAAAATTTAACTTTCCAAATTTTAAAATTTTTCGAAAACTTTTTTGCAAGAAAGCGCAAAATGAAGCTTGTAAAATTAGTTTTCCTTTCAACCTAGTTGACCTATTTTGATATAACGAGCATTAATCGCTCGCTCGCTGCACTCGCTCGAAAATTAGACTAAAACTCAAAAACTTCAAACCGTTGTTTATCAACAACACTGAACAGTTTTTTCAAAATTTTTAAAATGTCGATCGAATCACATCAAAAAGGACTGCATTAAGATATATATCAATCAGAATATTCCGATGATATTATGTGGAAAAGAAAAATTGAAAACACACCCGAATACAAAGTTCCTCCCCATTTTCAACGGTCAGAACAACAAATAAATTATCGTGAACACGAATAGGACATGTTGTGTCTCTAAACAGCCAAAACGTATAGATAATTAAGTAATTGGAAAAAATACACCGAAATTTTTGACTATATCTATAAACTATTCAAATTGTTTACGATCGCGCAAAAATAGTTCCCACTCCAGGACTAGGAGCAAAAAAATTTTCACTTGACTTCGCAAACTCCTCTTGACTGATTGCTTTTTTGCCTAAAAATAACCGATATTCATTAGCCAGTAGATAATAAAAAGATTGCTTCCGATAGGTTTGAGGTTGCTAAGTTCAGCGACCCTCATCCCAAATGGCAGCTGGCTCAGGAACTGCTGGATGGCATGTACTCCTTGAATCTGGTGTCTCATAGCTTTCGCACACTATTTTTAGTGAACAAAAACATGTTCATGAATTTCGGACAAGTGGACGCCATACGCTTCGAAATGGAGGTGAGAGCTTTTCAAGCAGTAGCTATGCTGTGTTTATGAAGTTTCGATTTTTAAAAATATATATACTTCAAACTTTTATATAGCAAGGTTTGCGCAGTTTTTCCCCACCCCGGCTCGAGGTTGTGGTTTTATGATCAGACAGTCGCGACCAAATTTTAGTATTTCCAGACTTTGCGGACCGAAGCATTGTGTCCGCGGGCATCGCAACCGAAGGAAAGTTAACCGCGATCGGCGCGAATGAAAAAAAGTTAGTCGCGGCTTTCGAAAATTTAGTCGCGATGGTCGAAGAACTAACCGCGGTAGGGTCAAAAAATTAGTCGCAGCGGTCAATAAAATAGTCGCGGCGGTCAAAAATTAGTCGAGGTGTTCGCAAAACTAGTCGCGGTGGTCGAAAATAGTCGCGGCGCTCAAAAATTTGTCGCGGGGCTCGAAAAATTAGTCGCGGTGGTCGAAGAAATGGTCGCGACCGGCGCAACCAAAGAAAAATAACCGCGATTGTCAAGACCAAAATCATTTATCATGAATTGGTGCAACTGAAAAAAAAACAAATCGGGAGAAAACGACCGGAGAAAAACGTTTCGAAAGAGTTCCATGCAGTTAAAACAATCGACCGAGGATTTTTTTAAACCAAGTTCATATAAATTGATTTGACTGTAAATCGTCACACTGTCAATCATCTGTCATTCCATCCGTGTTATCTAATTCCCTTGGTGTGACCTCTACTTCTCACTTTTGTGCTACACTTTGAAAGATTAATTTGGTTCATTTATTATCTGAAACTGGAACCTAAACTTTTTGAAACGGATTTTTATATGGCGCAGCCAACAGGCCCAAGTGGGGAAAAATCCACTTAGAATAACCGTATTTTGGCCTATGAAACGCAGCGAATTGCCTAAGTTCTGCGAATTCTGGTTTAATTGCTTTCAATTGGGTCTGGCCGCCAAACTCGGGATAAATCCTAGAAACTTCTACTCTTACGGCAACGCAGATTGCGGCAGTGCCAGGGGATTGGGACGGAAGGATCCGAATGGAGAGCGAACAGACGCTAGTTTTTAATTTTTATCTTTGCCTGGAGGAGAAATGCCGGGATGAATTTCACAAAAGACATCCGCATCTCGGTCTGGGGGCGACTAGATATCCACGGGTCCTTGACGCTATAGAAGCGGAATTTTACAGGAAACGAAACAAAACATTTGAAACTTTCCGACTACTGTCGAGATAGCAACATTTTAACGAGTCGCTCGAGCAATTCCATTCGGTGCTCAGCGTGTTGGCCGCAAGATGCAATTTCAGCACATTGGACGAAAGAAGGAATTTTTAGGGATATTTTCTTAGTCAGGATAAATAACCGTGAAGCCCAAAATGAAATATGCCGTTCAACGAAGAGGTGTACAAGATTGCTTTGTCTTACGAGCGGGTGGAAAATACGCTACAACTACTGGCGGAGGTTTTTTAGCAACGATGGGCGGTGGCCTGGAAATTGAGACCAAACCGGTCGGAATCACCCGAAGGGGATATCGGAATAATCGCCCACGCGTTAATGATCAGCGGGCGCGGTTTTCTCAGAGGCGAAATTAATCCAACCAGCATGAGATGCTACCACTGGGATCAACCAGGATTCACACCAATCGAAATGGCTAAATGCCCAGCGAAAAGGGTCACATGTAATTATTGCCGGAACACGAGACAGTATGAACGTACGGGCAGGGGGAGGCAAGCTAGCAATCGATGGCCTGGAGCAGTGAACATAATTCAGGATCACTTAGAGGGAACTTTTGACTACTCTGAAATACTGGAGAATCACTTGTCACAGCACGGAAGTTCCGTTGGTTGGGTAAGTAGATCCGAAGCCTCGCCTCGTTTTTGGGGTTCGGATAGCTCGGGTTTTTTTTGGTGATGTCATTTCGGTTGATGCAATGAACTAAAGGTCGCGGGAGTATAACTGCCCTTACGAACAAACGAGAAGACTACACGTCTATGGGTAGACAGCAGACCACCCATTTCAATATTCACCATCGGAGAGCTGAAAAACACATTTGGCGCGCGCAATTTAAGGTTGGAGGAACTAACACCGGAGGACAAAGAGTTTCGTGACAATGAAAACAACCCCCTAAAACTGATGGGAACGATGAACGTGAGGCTCGAGTCGAATGGCTGGGAAATGATGATAAGGATTCGAGTGATAGAAGGCTGCCGGCTCTCAATCAATGGACGGGACCTGATGGCCAATTTGAGACTCAATTAGTCCAACAGAAGCCAGAAGGGGCGGTGATGTCGATCGAGCATGAGATCATACTGAGCCCGTGGCAGGAAAACTTAAGTAAAAAATTTTCAAACCTCTTTCGTAGGGTAGGGAAAATTAGGAATTATAAAGCTTAGGCGATTTTTTTGAAAACCTAATTTGGTCCAACAGGAGAGACGACAGGGTGCCAATAACACTGCTAGAAAAAGTTGACGTCAAAATTTCGAAATTATTGAAGCAAGGACACATCGATTAATCAAATGAAAAAATTCACTTCGCCAATTATAATCACAGTTTAAGAGGCTCGGTCGGATAAACTAGCCCTACAAATCGAGAGAACTGACCAAACAAGTCCATAAGAATAAAAACCAAGTGCCGAACATCAAAAAATAATTGGACACATCCGGACAAACAATCAGCGAAAAAAAACCGTTGGTTATGTTTTTCAGCAAAGGATCTAACGTAAGCATATGGGCTACTCCCTCTCAGCAGTGCGGAAAGAGCGTTCAATGTAATTTTCACTAATGGGAAAAAAATCATTGTTTTAAAACGGAATTCTGCGGCTTAACAACAGGGCCCGCAGAAATTCAAATATCAATGGATAGCATCCTTTCGGAGTTCCCACAGGCGCACGCGTTTATAGACTATATACTAGAAGTCACGAAAGGTTCAGAAATTGATCATATCGGGACAGTAGAGAAAATGTACGGAAATTGTTTAAAGAAAACCGGTGTTTAAGACTGACAATGCAAGCTCGCACAAAAGAGTTGTGAATGGCTCGGCCACAAAATTATACCAACTGGTATGTCAACGGTGGTCAAGAAAACCGAGCCAAGCGAAGCGCTCTCGAATCGCCGCGCACCTTATCTCAAATAAAGTCGTTTATGGGCTCGATTCACAGCCTACACAAACACCTAACTGCCCTAGCTGAGACGTCCGCCCACTTCGCGCATTGGTAATTAGAAACAAACGATCACGGAGTGAAAATTTAATAGGCAAGTGGCTAACATAGTAGAGCTCAGAACCTTTCACCTACATAGAGATACGCGATTAATATGTGATGCAAGTCATAACGGCGCGGGGGCAGTTTTGGAGCAATTAGGTCCCGAGGTGTGGAGGCCTATCTCATTTGCATCGAGAAACTTACGCAAAACAGAAAAAAATACTCAACCAACAAGCTCGAAATGCTTGCAATTGTGTCGGGGGCAAAATTTTTCCGTAATTACGACTAATACCGAAAGTTTTATTTCATAACAGACCATAAAGGTTGAGTCTCCTCACTAAATGGAAACAACAAGAAAAAAAACTATGTTTAGTAGACTCAAAAGATGGTTAGAGCGACTAATCCCTTTTGAATTTCAAGTAGAACACAAACCGGGGGCTAAAAATGGTTTGGCCGATTATTTATCTCGAAGTCCGAACGGCGATAGAATATCGGTAAGAAGTTTTGATAGCATGTTCACCGTAGTCAAGATCAACAAAAAACGTCACGTCTTGCGATACGATCAATCGAATTTCATCACAGAACCCGTAATTACGTCATCCAAAGCAAAACCATCCATTAAAATAACAAAAAAGCAAATATTCGGTCACGAACCTGCCGCACGAGGGCGTTGTATCATGCAATTGCAAATCAGCCAATGATAGAGAAAATAGTTGCATAAACCAACGGTCAAGTAAAACGGAAGCAAATTTATTTGGGGCTATCAGTCAATCAAAATCAAGTTGTTCAAAATTATAAGGGTCAAACACAGAAAAAAATGATAAAAATTCTTCGATATCAGAATGGTTTTTAAAAAGACATTTTAGTTTACATAGTAGAGATGACAAAATTGAAGAGATAACAACAACATCTAATCTAGAAGCAATTATCAAGGAATAACGGTTGATAAAAACGATTACAGTAGTTTTTTTACCTTTCGCATAGAAGAAACTGTTCCACCGGTTGATCACAACATTTTGTCAAATCCCTTGTTCGAAGGGGATACAAGACTGTCAATAAATTTATTTCGTTTTCAAAGTTTTTCAATTCACAGTTCATAGAATCGAATTATATATCCGACCCCCAGCTTACTGTCATCCAATATATGATAAAGGAGACAGACCCAAACATACATTGCAAAACACATGCCATGAATCGTTACTACGAGCAATTCGTTAAAGAATGTCGTTTGTGAGCACGTCGTTTGGACTATTGGTAAACTAGTGATTCCAATTAGTTTAACTACTGCTATTAACAATCGATTTCATCATTATCATCAAACATGTTTTAAGCCGCCAAAGACATTTGGCACTACTACATATGTCGATCGATCGCGATTATTGCCAAAATTATGCAAAGTGTTTAGCTTCTGGTAATAACTTCAAATCTAAAATACAAAAAAGTAAGGTAGGAAAAACAAACAAACCAAAAGAGGCTAATAAGTTTATTCAACTCGGTTGTTGGAGACCGATTAATTACCTAAATGAATCGAAAAAATATGTTCTTGTGGCGGTTGAGCGTTTTCAGATGGCCATCGGTAATGGTGTGCGGAAAAAACCGACCGGATAAAAAATAAGAGTTTTTAAGAACGTACATAGTATTCATAGAGTGCTTTGAATTTCATGTCCAATGATGTTAAGGCCTCTTGTAAAACCGAAGTGATCGAGATTTAAAATATCGCCGGTCAATAAACATCGTGTCATCGGATGTGTAAAACGGACAGTAGGTAGTCTAAAAAACTCGATCTTCACGTATGCTAGAGAGAAAAACCACGAACCATTGGAAAAAATGGTTGAAAGAGCCCTTGGGGCGTTGCGATTTTCAAATAATTCTACAACTAAGTTGACACCATTCGAGGCAAACGATAGGTGCGAAGCAAATACGGCTCCCAGAAACCTCACAAAAAACATCCTTGCAACATCTAGGTTGCTCAAGAAAAATAAAAGAGAAATCTGCATGTTTAGATAACAAGTATCCGGCGGATTGCAGGACTTGTCATATCCGGCGGATACGAACTGGGGTGTGCGCTCGGATCTTGTGTACGATGTAAAAAGCCGTAAACATCTACGGAAACTTACGGAGTGACAAAAACTTGACCAGCAAGATGAACCGAGGGTTGGCATATGGAAAACGAGGAACTGCAGACTTGTCATCACGCCAACCATACCAACGAACTGGATAAAAAGCCTCCACAGGTAAAGAAAATGAAATTCCAAAGTGAAATCAGATAGAGCGCATACATTTATCTAAGAAAGTGGCGTTGTTCTTAGGAAGTCGGCGGTCGCAGTATCGAAAAACGCAAGCAGCAAAAAGAAACCACCCGTGGGAATGTCTCAGCCACCCACATCATGGGTTCTGAGTCAATAGTCGTTAAATAACCGAATACGAAAACGCTGAAACAACGAGCCAACGATTTGAACCGGTGAGCGAATCGAAGAAGGAAGACGCAAGTGAAAAAATTTTCCTTGGCAACAACAAGAACGACCACTAGACCCAGTATTACAATTCAACCACATCCAACCCCAAAGCACGGGGAACCGAACCGGCGGCGCAAATCGAACCAACGGATCACAACATGCCTAGCCAAACAGATCGTGGCGAACAAGTGGGCACAGCGAGCACGGCGATCACGCTTAAGGATATCACGAACAAATCGGCGGACACAAAAAAGCGCGTACGTAAGCAACGATTGGTATCATATACCAGCCAAAATTCAAACAGCAGCCAAAATGAGACGGCGCCCGCAGAAGTGGGCTCAAGCGTACTGCGCTAACCAAAATGGGCGGGGTCATGAATGACCATATTTCAAGAAAAAACTATCAAGGGGGAGCGTGAAAAAGGACCGGAGCGAACAACGTTAAAGCCCAGGGAGAGAACTGGTCGTATCAAAACTCGTCCAAAAGCTTGATGTTGGCACCGATAGTTTGCGGTAATTTTAGTTCTGTTCAAATCATCCTATTTGTCAATAAGTTATCTTTCAATTCATCCGAGTGTTTAAGTTTTGACACAAATCAACTTCATATCTGTACAATCTTCCATCATTTCAGTATTCACAATTTTTTTTTACTCGAGCGGAAATGATATAGAGTGCTATTTCTGTTCAGATAAGTTCATTTGTCTGTAAACCATCACACTGTCAACCATCTGTCATTTTATCGGAGCTAATTAAATACCGGCAGGTACCGGCCAACGGCGTCGTCTGTCACCCTTGCTGTGACCTCTTATCTCACTCTTTTGCTATACTTTGAAAAATTAGGTTGTTTCAATTATTATCTGAAGTCGGAATCATACTTATTGAAACGGATTTTCAATTTGAGTAAAGTTCGATTAATTTGGACTTTCTCGACTTTATCGACCGACATTTTTTGAAAACTTGTTGGTTCGACCCCTCATAGATATGTTTTGTCTTTCTCGACAAAAAATGGGTAGGTTTCGACTGTCTCGACTTTCTCGACGAACAAAAAATTCCAAAATTTATTTGATATATCAAAGATCTTTTTTCAAACGGCGTGCCTAACTATGTGATGGGTAATGATTATATCAACTCCTAGATCACAAAAATTGGTCCGCGATTTAAAACCCTGTTCGGACTATGGATTTTCGGTCGCGGAATTAACAGTAGAAAAATTATTCGCGGACCTCGACCCGGGACATAGCTTTGTGCATTTGACGAAATTGTCATCCCTACAGCTTAAGTTAACTTGGTTGATTTAGAGTGAATTTGGAATTTTAAATCAATTGAAATTATTTGTTTAACTATCCAGTCGGTCAAAAGTGGGAGCAGTAGAAAAAAGCACCAAATGGTCCACATTTAGTTAATCGAATGGTTAATCTACACTAGTTTAAACTCTGTCTTGATAGAATTCTCTGATGACAATGAACAAGACAGACCTGGACCAGCAGCTCCTTAGAAAACATCCAGGCACCGATTTGTCTCAAGTGAAGCACCTGGAGACACTCTATCAATGGAAGGACGACTTCTTCATGCAAGGGGACTCGTGAGTCATTACATTTTAAACATGGTTTAAGTTTTTACTTAAATTTACGAGCTTCTTGTTTTTATTGAAAAAAATATTGCTCTAAGCTCAAGCATATTATAGCTCTTATAATATTTTCTTTTGAGTTCAGGGCCTTGATTTTCAAAAAACGTTGAAGCTCTATGGCCTTTTCTAGTGATTTTTTTCTATGACTTAAATTGAATTATTTAGATCAATCGTAGAATCCTCCTCCCCTCCAATCGATTTAAGAGGGAAAGAAGTATGGACTTTTCATAAGCTATGGATTTCAGTTTAGCCTAAAATCATTCAAAATTAACCGCACCACTAAAGAAACTGAATTAAAACAGTAATTTGTTCAACAGCATACAAATACAATAGCGCATAAAAAATTTTAAAAGCATTTTTCTGCGCGTTTGTATAAAATGCATATTTTACACGGAACTTTTTTTCAGAAATAAAATATGCTTGGGGAAAGCATTATAAGGTAGGTCACTCAGGGGAAGGGGGGATATCAAAGGTTGATAAAATTATTTATACGAATTATAATAAATTACTTTCGCAAGGATAACAAGACTGCTCGTATCGTGAAAAATTTTGAATATTCCGTCTTTGCAAACCAATCACTTTTAAAAGCGAAAAATGGTTCTGTTTCTTATCTAGCCATGCGTCATTAGCTTGCCTACAGTTCAGTTTGAATTTTTTTCTCAGTCAAATCAAATTGCCAGTTACGCTAAGCGTTGATTTAAAAACATAAAATCTTGCCCTATTGGAACCAGTTTAAAACAAGTAATTATAACCTATACTATTATTGATAAGATATTTCTGTAAAAAATTAGAAGTAAGCAATCATGATCAATGACTAACACTTTCAGGACTAACACTTACTTTATAGTTTCAGCCAGAGAAGAATAAATTTAATTTAGCAAACAGTTGCTCAGATTTGATTTGGTATCGGACTAAGAAGTTGCACAAAAATAAGATAGCCTGACGAACAGATGGTGTAATTTATTTGAAATTATTTTATGAGAAAGCCACCCCAGACTTAAACGCATCTCGTTAAATGACCAGTGAAAAGGTAAAATGAAAACAAAGCAAAAATATTTTAAATTTTAGAAACATTTCTTATTCAATACTCTAACTTTTCGCTATAAATTCCATAATATCCGAAATTACTCTATGAGAAAGCCTCTCCGGACTTAAATTCATCTGGTGCGACCAGTGAAAAGATAAAATAAAAACCAAGCAAAAATTTTAAAAAAAATAGAATAATTTCTTATTCAATACTCTAACTATCGCTAGAGCTTCTATAAGGGTAATAAAATTCATACGTAGCAAGAAATAAATGCTGTAATTTACCAAAATGAAGTTTTAAATTGAATAAAATTGAAAATAACTTAAATACATTAGCCTTTTTAAGTGAGCTCAGTTTTGTACTTTTTCCTGTCATTGGTGTCATTGTTTAAATCGCCCACTTTTCCTGGAATTTTTTCCACACAACTCAACGTAACTCGCGCCACTGTAGAATTGTTTTAGAAATGAACATTTAGTTTGACAAGCTAATTGATAACAACTTTAACTTCTTTTCACGCGTCTTATAACTTTGCCTTAACCCGGTTGGAAGCAATTAAAACCAAGCTTAAACTAACCAACGCAGCTTACTAATACCACAAATTCAACGCATGTATAAAAAAATTTCACGGTGCCCAAACCAGATTAAACCTGGATGAATAATTCTTTTGAAACTCCAATCGACGTTTTATTAGGGCCACATCAAACAAAAAAAACAACAAAAAAATTAACGCAAACCAAAAATAATTTTTTTTTTGTAAAAAGACACAACTAATTAACAAAAAACAAAACACTTGATATAAAGAACAAAAGAGGTTAAACATGAAAAGAGACTCTTCTCAAAGAGACAACAAAAATACACACTCCTCTGGCCTCACCCACCAGAACGAAGTCGCTCGAAGTACATGTGCCCACTGTTTGCTAAGACCCCCACCCTTTATTTTTGATAAGAGTAGTTCTAGGGTTCGCAACTTTTCAAATTCAAAATAACCAAATTACTAAAAACCTTTTGCGAAAACAATTAACAAAGATCAGAACTAAAACTGACATCACTAGCCAGGTGCAAATATTTATGTAAATATATAAATTGCGAAAATAACTAATAAAAAATCATAACTAAGAAATGACTTCACTAACAAGATGTAGATATATAAATGCATTATAAAATATTTATCAGATCAAAGAAAGGAGCAGCAAAAAGGAGATGAAAACTCGACGAAATTCCGACTAAGGAATGGCAAATCTTTTGGTTTTGCTTGCCGCAGTCCCAAGCCTCACATGATGTAAAATTTGGAGCCAGTGTCTCTGCAAAGGTACCCATTGAACAAGAACAACGGCGAACTCGATATTCAGCTCAGATATAAGGATCCTAGTCACAAACCCTATCTGACTATTCGATGAATAGTTGAGAATGCACGTAGTCTTGCTCTACTTAAAGAAATTGTCTCGTCACTATTTAAATCTTCAACCTTGACACGAGCACCAGAAACATCTACGATGCACGCAATTTATTCCCAGAACATGAGCAACTGTTCTTCTTCTTTCTCTACGGAGCAACTTTTTCCACAACAAGAGCAATTGTCTCTCTTCTCTTCACTCCTTTAAGGAATCTACTCGAAAGAATATTCTCCATCCACCCTTCACAAGAAGAGATCTTAAAAACTTAGAACTCTCTAAGCCCCGGATGGGTGGAACCAGTTTAAAACAAGTATTAATAACCAGTTATATTGTTCATGAATTTTCTCTTTAAAGTACTTAGAAATAACCAATGACGATCCATGGCTATCACTTACAATAAATTGTAAGGCTGCAACTATTTATAGTTTCAGCCAGAGAAGAATAAAGTTAACTTAGCAAACATTTGCGTTTCCTAAGTTCTTCTTTTAGAATCTAAACATCGCAATAATAGCAGTATAGTCTAGATCCAATGAGACAAGGAGATATAAGAGTAAGATTAGGATTGTTATTAGACTAAGAAGTTGCACGAATATATCCGGCCGAAAATAAGATCAGTGAGGAACATACGGTTTAACTTATCCGAAATTACTTTAGGAGAAAACCACCCCGGACTTTAACTCAGTACTTCAATTTAAACCCTTGAATTCATTTTTTTGTCTTTCAAAACCTGCATTTAAATCCCCAAAAGCTTAATTTCCTGAGCATATAATACTTGTTTATTATTTTGTGGTACCAAATTCAGTTCCCAAAATTGCAATCACAAATTTTTTTCTGTGATTTTTCATCATAGTCAAAGACGGGAAAATCAGGTTCGAAATTTCGCCCAGTTCTTGGTAACTTTTTTAAACAGTACTCTAAACCAAGTTTAACCCAAAAATCAAGTTATCAGTTTTAAATCGATTAACGCATATCAGCTTAAACTACTATTTTTGAAAATGTTTTGAAGTTTTCAATATTTTCTGGATGCAAAGTAAAAAAATCTTACTGGAATTCGAGCCAGCTGCTTTTCGTTCTTTGGTAAAAAAAAACTTCCCTTACACTTGTTTATCTTAATTTTCTTCTACGTTTGTCCCAGAGCATCACGAAAAACGTATCCAAACACATCCTAAAATTTTCTACTATTCCAGAAGTTGTTTCAAAATTTTTACCTGCTCCCCCTGGTTTCGCAATCGGAGTACCCCGTAATTTTGCATTTAAGAAGTCCCTTAGCGTCCTCACCTCGCTGTCTTCTAGCGGTTTAGCCCAAAAATTTGCTGTTATTTTGGTATGCAAAATTGTGGCTATCGGCTGGTCACCTTGTATGTATGATATGATGTTTTTGTGGAAACAATTCGAAAAAACTGAGCAAAATAATTAGGAAATGCTCTGATTTGAGGTTCAAATTATTTCAAAGCATAATTGCTTTTGATGTAAATGATTTCAAAACGTAAGTGAACTCTTTTTTTTCGGGATGCTCACTCTATGTTTTAAAAATGTTACCCAATTTTGGTTTGTTTTGACCGTCTCGACTAATTTTGCGTATGCTTCAACGTCTCGTTAATTCAGACTCGTTTGATTTTCTCTACTACCAAGAAGCGCTCAATTTTGCTCGAAACAACCGAGATATGTTTCGATTGTGTCGACCGAAATCGGACATCTTTCAACTTCCATTTAAAATGACTTATCCAAAATCAAAATTTTTATTTATATTTTTCGAGTGGCATCTCTGGCTGAACTGACTTTGACTTTACCGCGAGACATTTGTGCTCAAAGCATATATCGATCGTTCTCGAGATAATTTTCGACCGAACTCGACCAATCTATGGTATGTTTCAACTGTGCTCGAGGTACGTTTCGACCGTTCTACCGTGCTGGACCGAAATTAGATATTCTTTGACTGTGCTCGAGGTTTGTTTCGAGTTTGTGGCCAACCCAATCTCTGTCTTGACTTTTTCTTTCTAATCGAGCCCTGCCTTTTTCTGGCTTTGAAAGACGGAACATAAAATGAGCTCCTCGATGGGATGGTATCAAGTTTTTTCAGATGGTATGAAAAAATTCAATCGAAAACTATTGTTTTGAGAGTCGAATTTATCTGAACAACCTCGAGTGTTAACATTCTATTTGTTTTTGTAATCAGCTACAAAAAGCTTTTGGCAACAATATACACCCATTAGTTTCAAATTACAGTCTTTTAAAAAAGAAATCAAATATATGAAAAGTATTTGGATCATTGCAGATAGTTTTGAAACGCCTCTTATCATATTAAATGATGCTTATAATTGATAACTATCAGCAGGTGAAACTTGGATCATATATTTTAGTACCAACTTGTTTACAATTTGCAAAATTTGAGAAAAAAATGTGCCAGTAATTTTTGACTGAAAGATCTGTTACAAAGGATCTGAAGGATTTGTTACAAAATTAGTTTGATCAATTCGTATTTTCCAAGAATAAGTTAGTCCTAAAAGTGGGAGCAAAAACTTGTATTTGATGCGTTGAGCACTTCTAAATCCATTGTATGGAAATTAAAAGGAAATGCGATAAAATGAATCTTATTACAACGACTCATAACTGCCAAGTGAAAGTTTTTTGCCAACGACCAAATGGCTCATTTTTTTCCCAAAGTGTAAATAGTCTTGCTGGCGTGGAACAACTAGCTAAAGTTGCAGCCAAAAAACAGATCAGTTAAAACCGGCCAAGACCTCACAACTATCCTCAAGCAGTTCAAAAAACCTCCATTACTGGGCGCCATATTGGTGTTCAACTAAATACCAATTCAACTCCTGGTATTTCGAGGAGATGGTCAGAGAGGAATTTATTGCCAGAAATATTGAATCTTGATAATCAGGCCTCGAAGAAATTAAATATTGAAAATGAATCAGAAGCACTCAATATAGAAAAAACAGTAACAGAAGAAGCTAACATATAAATTCAATCAACTTGACTGAAGTCTTATTTTTTTTGAAATGGAGAGAAATGTAGAAGAACGTCATATGGGCGACTTAAAAGACAGTTTTTTGTATTTTTCAAATATAAGGTCCCTCAGATGCCATCATGACCAACTCGTTATAGATATTAATCAGTTAGAACAAAAACCTTTGATTATTGCGCTATGCGAAACCTGGCTGTGTGATAATGATTATCTGAACCACTATCATCTTGATGGCTACCATCCCTTAATTTCTAAACACCGGAAATATCAACGAGGTGGGGGATGTGCGTTTTATGTGCGCAACGATGTGAATTTTCAGTTAAACAGTGTAGAGGTTAGGTTTGAATGCATCAACATATATATCGTGTATAAATCAGTCAAGAATAATCATAATAATTTCCGTTGTCTATAAACCCCCACAGAGCAAAAATGAGGTTTTTTTAATCACTTTGAGAATTACCTTCTGTACTTAAATGCTTTGAAAACTAATTTTTTTGTTTGTGGAGATTTTAATATCGACACTTTAGATTGCAAGCCAATTTCCAAATCTTATATTAATCTAATTAAAAGCTGTGGTGCTCATATTTTGAATAAAGATCCAACTCGCATTACTCCAACATCGAGTAAATGATTTGATCATTTAATTGCTAATTTCGACGCCAACGTAAAAACACTGGATTCAACTATTTCTGATCATTTTCCCGTAATTATATCAGGTTACGTGAATTTTGATCCGCAAGAAAAGCAAGATTACTGCTATAGAAATCTTAAAAATCTTTACCGTGACAATAATATTTATAAATATTTGTTCCTCTCAGAAAACAAATTGTCAAAATTTTATAAGCTTAGTGATCCCAATGAGAAATTATGTCTGTTAGTTGAATCCATAGTTTCATCAGTTGATCGTTTTGCTCCCTTAGAAAAATCGAAATCCCAAAAACAGTGATGGGTTACCGATTCAACCAAAAAGATCCTCAAAAACCGCGATCGATTTTTCAAAAAGTGGTTACAAAATCCTACTGAATTGAATAAACTGAAAAATTCTCAAGCTAGAAATTTAGCAACCAAGGTAATAAGAAATGAAAAAAGAGTTTATCACGACAAAAAAGTTGGAAATGGTAGAAATTCGAAAACGCTGTTCCAGGCCTTCAATGAATTTTGCAAAGAAAACTCCAAAAACACGAGTCTTTTTGCTGCTGATGTTTTTAATGAATTTTTTGCCTCAATTGGCGAGAAACTGAGAAATCCTGAGTTTGATTACAAACAAGCGTTGGGTTATGTAGATCGCATCGAAAAATCAATGATTTTTTTATGAAATTACCCACAAGGAAATTGAAAATGCCATATATATGTTGAAAAATAAAGGTTCAAATTGTCATGATGACATAAATAACAAAATTATAAAATTATCGCTCCCTGTCATTTCTGTAAGAATTTGCAGCTTTTTCAACCAATGTGTTGAGAGTGGTTATTTTCCTCAAGGCTTAAAAGTTGCAAAAGTTATTCCCCTTTTCAAGGGAAGTTTAAAAGAATTTTTGGAAAATTATAGACCTATTAGTTTACTCAGTTCACTCAGCAAAATTTTCGAAAGGATAATATTCAATAGAATGTATAACTTTGCTAACAAGCAGAAGATTCTTTATAAAAAACAATTTGGACTTCAAAAGAAAAAATCATGCGTGGATGCATTAATCGAATTCACCGAATTTATTAGAGAGGGATGGGACAAAAAATTGGTTAGTCAATCATGCCTTGTTGATCTCAAAAAAGCATTTGATACCATAAATCAAGATCTTCTTTTGGCAAAATTGGAAAAACACGGCTTTAGAGGCCGGATTTTTTGTCTTCTGAAAAATTACTTTGCAAACCGGTTTCAATTTGTTCAAACTGATAATAAAATATCTTCTAGTCGCTCTATGTCATGTGGAGTACCACAAGGGTCAGTTTTAGGTCCGTTTTTGTTTTTAATATATATAAATGATCTTCCGAAAATTGCTGAAGGATCTGAGGTTGTTCTATTTGCTGATGATACTACAAAATGCAATGCAGAAAAAAATTGTTGCGATAACTTTGATAGTTCGTTAAATAAAGTGGATAGATGGTTCAAAACGAATGGGCTTTGTGTCAATCCTGTTAAAACTCAAATAATGAAATTTGGTTAAAACTTTTCAAAAGATTACTTTGCTTTTGGTACTACAGTTCAAATTACAAATGTGTGTAAATATTTAGGCATTTTTGTTGATAAGAAACTTACTTTCAAATTTCACATTGAACATGTGTGCAAAAAGTTAACTAAATTTTGTGGCATTGTATGGAAAGCTAGGTATGTTTTTTCTAAACAGCAGATGCTTCGCTTCTACAAAGCATATGTAAATTCTACAATCACTTATGGAATTTTAATATACGGCAATACATCCCAATCTCACCTTACCGAGATGATGAAACTACAAAAAAGAATCTTGAGAGCAATTTTTTTCAAACGTAGATATGAATCAATTAAAGAAATTATGGACGAAAACAAATTGCTTACTGTTTTTGATTAATAGTTTTTTGAGATGTTTAAGTACTTGCTTATGGAATTGCGATTGGACAGAAAAAATGGTTTTCTGTCTCAGATTTACTCCCAAAAAAGTGGACCATGTACCAGGAGCAAAGCGAAAGGCTTAATTAAAGTTGCAAAATTTTCTACTACCGCTAAACAGAGATCGCTTACAGTTAGAATTGTGCAGGCTTTTAACTATTTAAAGCAAAATGTCATGATACCTGTTAATATACATGAAATGTCAGAAGTTAGTTGTTTGAGACTCTATAAACAGTTTTTTCAAATTTAACTAAACGACAATCAAGACTTCTATAAACTGTTTTTTAATTTCAGCCCTTAATTTAATTTGTTTGTTGAGTTGATGCTGGCTGTCTTCTTTTTACTCTCCAGGATATCCTACTCGATGAGCAGTACTGCTCTTTAGGATCTCCCTCCAGGCATAATATATTGCTTTTGGCATTGTATATGTAGCTGGTAAAGTAATTCAAATTTCAAATTGTACGAATTCCAGATCTTTGTTCAGTATTGTAAGATCATTGTTATCGTTGCGTTTGAAACATACATTTTATTTTTTTTTGCAGTCAAAGAGTTTTAATAATTTTTTATTTATTGTAACCTATTACTAATGTCAAAAACAGACTAAAAACTGAAGAAATTCAAAGATAACTGCAATAATTTGAGATCGATTTCATTTTTCCAGTCTGTGGGCAGTTTCTGCTTGGGCAATTGTGACGGTGTTCGCCAGTGCTCTACTCATGATAGAAAGGGGGTACTATAACCTAGACAAGGCATGGGATCAAGCCAAACCCAAGATGGCAAAAACAACACCACCCGAAGATAAAGAAGTTCTTGTCGGATCAGAACCAAAATTAAACAAAGACAGTAAAAATTTGTAAAAATCTCCCTGGTCTGTGGTATTTTCAGCTTGTTGCTATAAACATTCGGGTTTGAAATAAAGTTGCAAAACGAAGATTTTCATTATATATCGGAAGCATTTCTCCGAATCTTTCGAAGTGGAATACTCTCAACAAAAGCAACTATCGCTTGCCATTCGTTTGGAAATGCCCTAATAAGAAACTCCAGATGAACAAAAAAAGTATTTTTTGGTTTGTAAAACGAATGCCGACGGATTTTGTGCAAACGTTTAAGGACTTTAACTTATGCATCCGATACCAAAAGTCTTACATTTTCATGCGAAATTTAGTCGAAAATATTTGAAAACTGAATTGAACATTGCTCGAAAATAAATCAGATTTCAGTATTCTAAAATTTGGAAAGAAAGTGAACATTTCCAGGGACTGGAGCATTGATATTGGCCGAATATAAAAATGGCTGAATCATGCAAAGTTTTCAATTGTCACTGACCGCCGAATTGGAACAAAATTTATATTTCAAGGGTTTTGTTATAAAAGAAGCAAAATAAAGCTTCATTTAATTCATTTTAATTGAATGGCAATTGCTTCTTTCTAAAAATTGACTTTCGGCTAATTTTGTTTTCGGTCTTTCGCTCACAAGTTTTTTCGCTCAATCGGTCCTTCACGCATGAGAATAGCCCCCCCTCATATCGCCACCTCGTTGAGTTAACTTCGCCAGAGTTTTGCTTACCAAAAGCCCGATTTGCATTAAAAACACTCTTTCCTAGTAAAAGACGTTTTTAAAGTTTTAAACGTTATTAACTTTTATTACGGTAAAAGCTTATAAACATTGATTAGTGTACTAAACAATGAACTAACGTCTCTGCCTTGAGAATGGAGAGGCAGAAACGTAAACACTTCACCGAAGCAAATAACACAAAAAAAACGTTGTTTTTTTTTCATTTCAAATTGCGTTTGTTTTTTACGCAAAATTTTTTTTACTAAAGGCGGCTTATCCACACAGGAAAGGACAAACATACGAGCTCTTCAGCTCTTTACGGATAACCGCTATTGTGCGCTATCTACACGCATTTTTTGGTTATTTTTTTGGCCGGAAAAGGTTGCCTCACCCTCAAGCAGCGAGCACGGATCATGATAGGCCGACTTTCGACACGAAAGTAACGGAATACTTGTGCTCGGGGTGGGTTTTTTCCTTCAGACAAATTTCCACTTTTTAACCTGCCATTTTTGACAGAATTTTTAAAATCATTCGAAGGGTATTGTTGTCCTGAGCTCAAATTTGAAAAAAAAAAATTGCCTGTGATCAGTTTTCGTAATGTTATGAGGAGTTAAAGATTGCCATTTCGGCTAATTTGGGACCATTAATGCGCGATATATTTCGAGCTATCAACGCGTAAGCGGAGAATTAATCCGTCTTAGAAATTGTTCCAAATTGGTTGAAAGAAGCTTGTTTGTCATAATTGATTTGTTACAAGGAGCGAAATCCATCCTTTTATACTTTATATGGCATGTGGGAGATGATTTTCATTGAAAAAAAAATCAAATTTTAGAAGAAAAAGAACTTCATTTTGTCTTTTGAAATTTAACTTTTTAATGTTATTACATAATTCTTAAAAAACAGTCGGAACATTCGGGGGTTCGCCTTGATACGAGCAGTCTTGCTTTCTTATGAAGTTCAATTTCAAACGCTGTTAAGAATGAAAAGGCTGCTCGTATCGGTAAAAACCCTGATTTATCCGACTACCCTTTAACTGGTCTCTAATAGATTTTGTTAGGTTAAATATTGGCAAAACTGTTAAGTTTATGCTTATAAAACCAAAGTGTAATTGTTAAAATTTGAGTCGTGTATGGAATTTTAAAGACCAATTACCTTATAGCCTCATTTCGTTTTGAACAATTTGTAGTGTGGGATATTTATTCACGTTCCGTATTTATCCATTAACTTTTTTCTGGATTTTACCAATGTTTTCTGTCAAACAAAGAAAACAAGAATAGCCGGTTGCTGTAAAAAGAAAATGTGAAAAGACATCAAATCAGAAAAACTATACAATTTCAACTCACTTTTTATGAAAATTCATCAAAAAGGGAATAAAACTTTATAATACTTTTTCAAAAAGGGCTTTTGAGGTAGACGAAGAGAACCGCGATTCAGACAAAAAAAATTAGTTTTAAATCAAACAAAACTGCTCGTATCAAGGCGAAGCCCTGAATGTTCCGACTGCCTTTTAAGGTTTATGGGGCAGTAGTAACATAAAAAATGTTAAATGTAATAAAATAAAATGAAAAAAAAATTCTTGAAATTTGACTTTTTTTTACGAAATCATCTCCCCACACGCCATTTAAGATACAAAAGAATCAATTCGCTCATTGTAGCAAATCAATTATGGCAAATAGCTTCTTTAAACCAACGACGGATTAGCTCTCCGCTTACACGTTAATAGCGCGAAATATATCGAGCGTTAATTGTCCCAAATTGGCCGAAATGGCAATCTTTAAACCCCCATAACTTTACGAAAAATGATCAAAGGTGAGATATTTTTTCAAAGTTAAGCTCAAGGCAACAATAGCTTTTGAATGACAAAAAAATTCTGTCAAAAATGGCTGGTTAAAAAGTCGAAATTTGTCTGAAGAAAAGACCCACCCGAGCACAAATATTCCGTAACTTTCGTATCGAAAGTCGGAACAATAACATCAGATTTGTTGTCGTTCATCTGGTAAATTCTAATCGGAATGTATGGGGGTGATTTTAATCTATTGTTTGATGTGTATTCATGAAATTCAATTCACATTCAATGTTAACAGCATGGAATACTTTGGAGGATAAACTACTTATACCATTTAATCATTTCGTTGAATTGTTTTCTCAATCTTTGAAGCACTCTGCTGAGTTGTGACTGGAAAGAATGCCTTTTAAGGTTTATGGAGCAGTAATAACATTAAAAATTTCATTGAAATAAAACAAAATGAAAAAAAAAAATTTCTAAAATTTGAATTTTTTTATGAGAATCATCCCCCCACACGCCGTATAAAGTACAAAAGTATAGATTTCGCTCCTTGCAACAAACCAATTATGGCAAATAAGCTTCTTTTAACCAACTTGGAACGATTTCTTAGACGGATTAGCTCTCCGCTTACACGTTAATAGCGCGAAATATATCGAGCGTTAATTGTCCCAAATTGGCCGAAATGGCAATCTTTAAACCCCCATAACTTTACGAAAAATGATCAAAGGTGAGATATTTTTTCAAAGTTAAGCTCAAGGCAACAATAGCTTTTGAATGACAAAAAAATTCTGTCAAAAATGGCTGGTTAAAAAGTCGAAATTTGTCTGAAGAAAAAACCCACCCGAGCACAAATATTCCGTTACTTTCGTATCGAAAGTCGGAACAATAACATCAGATTTGTTTGTCGTTCATCTGGTAAATTCTAATCGGAATGTATGGGGGTGATTTTAATCTATTGTTTGATGTGTATTCATGAAATTCAATTCGCATTCAATGTTAACAGCATGGAATACTTTGGAGGATAAACTACTTATACCATTTAATCATTTCGTTGAATTGTTTTCTCAATCTTTGAAGCACTCTGCTGAGTTGTGACTGGAAAGAATGCCTTTTAAGGTTTATGGAGCAGTAATAACATTAAAAATTTCATTGAAATAAAACAAAATGAAAAAAAAATTTTCTAAAATTTGAATTTTTTTATGAGAATCATCCCCCCACACGCCGTATAAAGTACAAAAGTATAGATTTCGCTCCTTGCAACAAACCAATTATGGCAAATAAGCTTCTTTTAACCAACTTGGAACGATTTCTTAGACGGATTAACTCTCCGCTTATGCGTTAATAGCGCGAAATATATCGCGCGTTAATTGTCCCAAATTGGCCAAAATGGCAATTTTTAAACCCCCATAACATTACGAAAAATGATCTTATGTGAAATATCTTTTCAAGTTCAAGCTCAAGACAACAATACTTATTGAATGATATTTAAAAAAACTCCGTCAGAAATGGCTCGTTGGAAGTCGAAATTTGTCTGTATTTGATGCGTTCACAGTGGACCATTTGAGTTACGAGGTTGAGGGCATGGACAATGACGATGAGGTGGAGTGTCCGAAAAGTAGAAAGGGCAGTAAATTTTCTTCAGTGCATTGAACTCTTATCTCGTTATTATCCCCGAAAAAGTTGGCTTAAATTGTTTTATCGTGCAGTCTGTTTTAGTCAAGGATATCTCGAAATGAACTCTGTCCTCTCAAATGTTCTACTTCGCAGCTAAAAGAGGGAAACCTAAGGTAGAAAACTGCTGCTAAAATATATTATTGAAAATTTTGTAGATAAGTTAAGTAGGGATTGGATAGTAAAAAAGTGATTAACTTATCATTACTCAGAAATATAGTACTTGTACAAAAGTATAAAAAACAATTTCAAGAAAAGTGAGATATATTTAGTCTCATTAATTTGCACCATCTAATGCTGTTTTGAAAAAATAACAACGAAAATTAAAACGTGCTTAGGTTGAAGTTTAGGCTGAAATAGATGGGTTGACTAATGTTTTTGGTGAATTGGAAAAAAAACTATTAAACATGCACATTTCAAGTAAACTTTCGATTACTTTTTTCATTTGATTCATTTTTTTCAAGTATTTTTTCTAAATCACCTTGAAAACTAATTTTACTTCGATTTCCAAATAAAAGAAATTTGAAAAAAAAAAAACTGAATACTGATCTTGACATTGGAATAGGGGTCCTAGTCTGGTGTACGGTCTGGCAAGGGGGAATGCGGAGGGTCATCTGCGACGCATCCTGGGTCTCTTCATCCAGTCCAATGCCAGGATTTGGCATGCAGCACAGTCTGGGGGCTTGATTCGCAGTGGACCACAACACTGGCAACAGTCTGCACGCGCCCCTGGATGCGAATAGGGCCAAGTGGGATTTGAACCAAATTTTCCAGGAAGAACATACCAATGTCATCATCAAGCCCAACAGAATCTGCCTGTTGTAATGTGGATTCTGACAAGTGGCT